TATATACATACATTTAGTACATGTTTTTATATTTATATTATTAATGCCTTAATACTTGTTTCTTTTTGCTGTCTTTAGGAGATAGTCAATTTCAACTGTCGGAAACTGGTGGCCACAATGCCTCTCTTCGCTAACGCAGATCCTAATTTCGTGACTGCCATGCTGAGCAAGTTAAGATTTGAAGTCTTTCAACCAGGAGATTATATCATCCGAGAAGGAGCCGTGGGTAAAAAAATGTATTTCATTCAACATGGTGTTGCTGGCGTCATCACAAAATCCAGTAAAGAAATGAAGCTGACAGATGGCTCTTACTTTGGAGGTTAGTAAGCTTGATGTGTGATTGAACTTCATTGTAGATTGTTGGACGTATGTGTCTGTCAGAATTTTGGAGCTGCCTTGTTGTTGGTTATAAATATGGTGTTCAATCTAGGGATTCTAATAAAGGTGTCTCTAATAGTTTGTTTGCATATTTCAGAGCCCCAGGTTCAGGGCTTGCTCTGAACTCTGTGCTGTGTTAGTTTGGGGTTTTGTTTCCTTTCTTTTAACTGAAACTGAGGTATACATTTTAAATCCAGTGGAAAAGTCTATTCTTCACCCTACAGAAAATTCTGGGAGAATCCAGTCAGTTCATGAGCGCTATCTGGATAAGAATTTTCAGCTACTTAGATTCTTACTATTTTGTTTATCTGCCATCATACTTAAATTGGGTTTTAGCCTTGTTTCATTTTTTGGGGGGTTTGGATTTTTTGATCCACATTTAAAGAGCTGGTTCCACTTCCCCAGATTTTGATAGGACCCCCTAAGTGGAGATAAATGTTGTTCTTAAGTTCCATCGAGTTGTAAATGACTCATAGCGACCCTATGAACGAAAGGCCTGAACACTTGTATAACTCTCATCATTCCTCTAAGTTCTTAGAGTTTCTGGAGGCAAGCTATTTCAGAAGTGGATGCTACTCCTGTTTCCAAGCCTGTATTAGTCTGGGAGCTCCACTAAACTAAACACTGTCCACCATGGGGAGCCATTATTGTGTGGGAGATGACAGAGGGAGTGAAAAACCAGCAGTGTCTTTTTTAAATCGGTGTCCCTAAAATTGCAAACATTTCTGCACGTTAGCGAGGACATGGTGCAAAGACTCTTCTAGTAGGAAGGGAAAAGTAGCTCCAAGAGGGGAGAAGGTTCCCCTTCTAAAGACTCTGAAAAGTTGAATTGTTGTCAGTGTATGTAAGACATCTGAGTGTGTGTGTGTGTGTGTGTGTGTGTGTGTGTGTGTATACGTGCGCGTGCAAGCTACATTTCTACAAAAATAGCTTAGGAGTGGAACTGTTAGAACAATGACTGTGTGTGTTCTTAAACTGATATAAAGCACACCGATTGGCTTTTCTGATGAGGCCACCTGTGAGTAGACTGCTTTGCTATTGGCTGTCGTTGTGTCTTCTAGATGAGTTCAAATGTTCTCCCTTGTTGTTCAGCGTGCATCTCTGTTTCAAATCGTGAGAGTGAGGTCTATCTCTTTATTGATTGGTCGGTCAACTATATTTATTTTGGATTTTAGAGGAGTTGGGGTTTTTTTCTACATTTTCCCACTGAACTGTCTGTCCTTTTGAAGCTTATTTGTGCATAGACAAAAGCGTACAGTATTATTCCTACATGCTTTCTATCTTCTTCAGGCTTAATTTTTTTAATTAATTTAGTTTGTTTATTTTTCATTTCAATGAACATCTACAGAGATTTTGGAATTCCATTCATTCATTGTTGCACCCTTCTCCC